GCACACAATTACTACTACGCAGGGCTGAGAATGCGATCCGATACGAGCAATGTTGTCGGGCAAAATATGACTGCTGCTCAGGACGCAGAATCCAGGCAATGCACAATGCAGTGGAATCAATGCAGCTCCTGAAAAGTAGAAGAAAACCCACACACTTACATTGCACGCCATATAAGCTTGACAAGCCGAGATTCCGATGCCCTGAGCATGCGCTGCCATTCCTTGTTGCTGGTCTGCTTCACCAAGCCGCCGACCCAAAGACCGGGAAAGCTAAACAATCCCATGAGGTAGGGACCGCTGAACCCATGCTGGCCAACATCCGATCTGAACGCCGCGAGGATGTGCGGAGGGCAGCAGGCCTGCAAAGATGCAGACGTGTATGACGTGTGAGACAAACGAAACAGAACTGAGTTAAAGATTAGCCTTTTCCAGTCTTCCTTTATTTTTTTCTCACTACAAGACCACAAGACTTCATGAAAGGTTGCCTGCACGCGAAGCAATGCAAACGAGGCTCTGGGGTCAGCAACTTCTGCACGATGTCCGCCATGGCCCCGTCGAGCCTGTTCTCTTTGCTCATCACGCCTGCATTGTATTTGCTGATCACGTCCTTCACCTGGCCAACAAGGATACGTTTCTATGAACGTGTTGACCAACAAAACAGAATTGCGTGCAAAGACACACTCCAACCTTCTTAGTGGCATCGACGTCGGAGGAGCTCTGCTTGCCGCCGGCCTCGTCCATGACGCGGAGACGGCTGAACCTCAATCATTCGGCACGCAGAAGGTGTGAGTCGCGGCAGACTGTCCATTGCGACCATAATAAGCAAGGACACATGTTCGCGAAGAGGAAGGGCTCCACAGCCACATTTTGCTTCCTTTTCGACACCGTCGATGACAAGCACGTGATCATGCGTGCGGTGTTTGTCTTGTGCCGCTTGTGCCTTGGAGGAGACGAGATTCTGTCGAACACAAGCCCAAGGAATCGCACGCAGCATTGCCGGCATGTAGCTCCACAGCGGACGTCACGCGCAAGCAGCCCAGGAGCTCCAAGACGTGTGCCGGAACCGACTGCTGTCCGACACCGAGGGCGCAGTCGGCGAGGACGACGACAGCGACGAAGAGGACGCCGTTGGAGGCGCTGCCGTCGCTGCCTAAGCCCCCGCGACTTAGGCGGTGAACCTGCAGTGTCGGGGACTCCTGAGTGACGGCAGGTGTTGCGACAACTTGAACATGGGCATTGCGAAGTGCGATCGAGCCGCAAAGAGCTCCGACTACAGTACACGTATAAATTACAACCAATAGCAACTGCTTCACAATCACTTGCGCGGGACATGGC